ACCATCCTGCCCTTTTTTAATAGATTCCATGCTTTATGGATAATGTCATTTCAGCCAGAAAGCCCTTTTATCCCGATCTGTCGGTGGTTTTTATGAAGATTTAGCCGAGCTGGGGCTAGCTCGTCCGTCCCTCTTTAGTTTATTGGGTTATGTTTAGCAGCAGGTTGGCCAACAAATAGGATTTAGATAGAATGTCATTATAATAGATCTGCCGCTCGTGTAGAAAGCAGATCGATAGGCTTCAAAAATCAATCAGTCTGTCCACAGGTACAGAGACAGGAAGTGATGCTACCTGACTCACATCTCTCAAATTAAGGAAGTTCACAACATCTCCAAGTCTTCAAAAGGTATTTTTTAAGGCTGCTTTACCGAGGCAAGAAGTCAAATGATTGGTCATTTTAGTTTCAGTACATTTGGATATTTTATCACTTACAGTTTGAACCTTTTGAAAATATACCACATGCTTCAGCAATTAATTATTTGTGTTACAGTCCAACAGCTACTTTCATAATTCAAGTATTTGTATGACTATCATTAAAAAAAACACCAAACTTGCAAGGGTTATTATTGTCTTATGACCCATTATAACAATAACACAACTTTCTCAGGTTCAATAATTCTCCTTAACCTTAATTCAAGAAGAGAGGACACAATAAGGTCATAGGAACTTCAAAAACGTTCAAAAATATTAATTAATTTAGCATTGGATTTCGTAATATTAGGTTAAATTGTGTTATGAGGTTTGCTTTTAACACTTTATTATAAATTATATTAACCCTTTTTTGTGTCTAAATACAGCTTCAGTGGTGTCAAGCAGTTTTCGGTTTATTCATTTTGAGTATCAGAGGCAAACGCCAATGAAACCACAGGCAGAGGGCTCGTCCAATCAGGCGACAGAAGGTATGGCGGAACAGTTCCATTTCTAGTGAACGCACCAGTGCATCAACACACATTGTAGTGATGGGAATTACGGCTCTTTGAAGGGAGCCGGATCTTATGGCTCTGTTCAAAAGAGCTGTTTTTTTCAAGGGGGCGGGGTTAATAGGTTTATCTGCAAAATAATCACCATGATAATAATTGACTGTATTGCCAGAAATCTACTTTTACTCACAGAAAAATGTTTAACTTGCTACATCTCTCAGCTAGCCAAACTACTCGTCAAGCAGCATGTGTTATCTATACGGCACATTTGCATTCAGGAAAGCAAGTTCCCGTAGAGGCGAGTGGATTTATGGCAGGCAGTGAACCAACGATAAAAAGAACGGCTCTCACCAAGTACGACTCGGTTCCCAAAGCGCCGTTCATAAGAATCGGATCGTTCGCCAACGTAACATCACAACACACATTGACACTAGTCCTCTAAAGAAAGACAATTATTATTCTTAAAGTTTAGAAGGGACTACAAAGGGTACACACTTAGTTGTTTTTACTAGCGATGTCTTGTAAAAAAGATGTAGGCTTATATATGATTAATATTTCTTTGTACCGTGCAGATACCCCTCCCACCTGTCTGGATCTTTCTCTTCCTCTGTTTTTACTTTCTCTGCGTAAAGCCCAACTTTTTAGTGATTCTGGTTGAGAGTCTATCTCTAATTCTGTTATCTACTGGCCCAGTCTGGCCCTGGGATGGATGCCATCTGTAATCCATTTATCAGAGCCGGCCGCTGGGCCTTTTTCCAAATGACAGCTGGCCCTGAGCAATCTCATTATAAAAAGCACTAGGATATAATATGGAAATATCGGGGGGAGGGGGCTCCTATAGGGTCGGAAAAAATGGACTGAGAAACAAACATACAGTGGTCAAAAATCCCAGTGTCTTCATAAGGATGTATACACTCTGCTTATCAACCAATGAAATGGCAGAGCAGTTTGAATAAGGGGAGATCATAATGACAGTCAATCACATGGTATACAGCTGTAGATAATTTGTGTGATGCACTTGTTTTGAGGAAGTTACCATTTACACTTTATTTGAGGTGTCTTGTTGATCCAGATGCAATATGAATACACTTTGATTAACACTTGCTTAGCCACATGTACTTCTCCAAGGACCAGACAGTACACATCTGATTAGAATCCATCTTGGTTTTCCAGGGTTACATTGCCAATTAAGGTCGCACCTACATGCACCTGAAGCTATTTGGTAACTGCCAGCGTAGGAATAACTTAAGCCTTGCAACACCAATTAATATGTAGCAGTAAAAGCTAGCAAGCTAACGGATATCCATATTTTAAGACATGGATAAACTGTAAATGTCGACTTAAAGCAAGACATGTTAACTAGCTTTCACTGATCCCTCATCCAGATCTTTCAGTAGTGGAACTGTCCCACTCCAGGTGCAACATTTTATGTCTGTCAAAATCACTGTTATTTATTTGTACACATGTATTGTACGTGTCCGGCCTGGGAGAGAGACCCCCTCTCTTTAGTGGCTCTCCCTGAGGTGTCATTCCTCACACACACACATTTCGGCCTCTACTTTTATGTCATACCAATTATTTTTTATTCTTGAGACAATCAGACTTTCTCTTTGTATTTTCCACACTGGGTTGACCAAACTATTATTTTAGTTTCCACCTCCCAACAAGAACCTTGATGTAACACTGTGGGACATGTCTTTTCTCAGTCATGTTGCTATGATAGTAGGCATGTAGTCAGTATAAAGGAATGATGATAATAATAATAATAAGGCATGTATTCCAACTTTTTAAGCTCGCAAAGGTACACCACATTTAAAGTTAATTGTGATTTATGAAGGGAAACTGCAGCATGCCTTTGACCACTTTTTATAAATCTGAATTGTACTTACATTTGCATTATTTGTCTCGTACATTTACTCCTTTTCTGAAATCAGAAATCCTTTATTTGTCCCACAGAGGGGAAATGTACAGTGTTACAGCAGAATGAATAGACACAAATAAAACACTTTTCATTTAAATTTGATAAGTACACATTCATGGTACAAAAACAGATAAATAGCAGCATTTAAAAAAATAGCAGAACATACAATACACAAGAACTCAACATACTATGTAATGCAGTAGCAGCGACGTAACAGTGAAAATAGTACACATTTTTCTTCACCCGTCTTAAATGCATTTATATTTTGCTGTTTTGAGATATCCATTTAATCCGGCCAAGATCCATGAAGTTAAAGTGTAATTTTACTATTTTTATACTGAAATGTACGGAAGAGGATTGGGGCCACATGTTAAACAAAAATATTTTTACCAAAGTGCTTTTTTTCTGAGATTGAAAACTGAAAAAAACATATTTTTATTCTGACTTCTTCTCAGAATTCTGACTTTTATTTTTGAACTTTTGGTCACATCCCAAATATTTTTCTCATGTTTTTCTCATTCTGTAAATCTGCGTTTGGAAACATATTTCAGTATTGAATGTTTTCAGGAACATCTCACCAGCTGAGTCATTAAACATCAGCACAGATCACAGCCTGCTTTTATCCTTTCGAGGCAGTAGTTTTAAGTAATCACTCCGTGTGTGTGTGTGTGCGTTTGTGTGTGTGTCGAGTGAGTGCTTGCTCCCCTGCAATTCAAATCCATAACAATGCTGTCCGCGCTCATAGAGAGCGAGAAAATAAGAAATGGAGGGCGAAGCAGTGGGACTGTGTGTGTGTGCGTTACAAACACACACAGATTTGATGTAGTCCTTATTGTGCCTTTGATCCGAGGGGTGTAAGGAGCTCTCCTCTCCCACTGTGATACTCATACAGACACACACACTGCAGCAGGGCCCCACTGTGCAGACCCCGGCACACGCACACACACAAAAGAGGTTATTTTGGGGTCTTCTTGGTGTGCACAATGGATGGTAACGCCCACACACACCCCCACCCACACACACACCCACACACACACCCACACACACTCACAAAGGGTTTCCAGTTGCACATGTCCAAAAGCTTTCCAGAGGCTGTGAACATGACCGTGTGTGTGTGTGTGCCAGTGCGTGTGTGTGTGTGTGTGCCAGCGCGTGTGTGTGTGTGTGTGCCAGCGCGTGTGTGTGTGTGATGGTTAAACCCGGGACAATAGAAGTGTGCCTGTTCAGTTGTTATCGGCTCAGTGTGGACTCAAAGGCCTGCTGGGTTTTTTTTTATACCACCTTTCACCGTGAAAAGTAAGAAATGAAAACGGGGCTCCCCACACTCTGTCTGTTTAGCTAAATCATTCCTCAAAGTGTCAGAAGACGGGGAAAAAACAGATATTCAGTATCTATAGAATTAAAATGCAATGTTACTAACTTGTCAGATTTGCATTTCAATTACAAGCCGCTGTCGGGATTCTTTTGAATTCTTGAATTGGTTTAAGCTGGCCCTCAATTACCATGGTTAACAGTTAACATATAAACATTTAGTTTAATCCTTGTTTAATTGTTTAAAGCAATCGTTCTGGCATCACTTTAAATGCAAGGGGAATTGTGAGTGATTTACAACAAAAGAAAAAGTATATTTGTTGAATAGGTTTTTTTTTTATTCAACACAAATTCATTACAGTTTTACGGACGTTTCTAAAGTCACTAAGGATTTTAGGGAGATAACATTTAAGAATCCCTGTTCATACACCTGCTTGTACTCTAATAACTATACTGTATTATGGTCCACTGTATTTAAAGTACATTCAATAAAATATACACATGTGATGGTGTAAATCAGCAGGAGCCTTAAAATGAATTATTTGCCTTGGGATCTACCATGATGTGCTAAACTAAAATTAACTTGTATGTCATTTTAAACAAATGACCATACTGCAAAATGCACAAATGTTGACAGTTCTGTATTCATTTGTAACAGTAAGGTGACAGAATATTCAATTAAGGGTCCACTTACTTTTTTTTGGTGCGCTTTTATAGTCTCATCAGTAAATAACGTTTGTAAGCTTACAAAAAACGAACTTAGTGTGGACCTTCCCATCTTGAGACCAGCTGCTACATCAATAGGCAGAAGACACGTTGTTCATTTCTCTCTCTGTCTCTCCTCCAGGCTGTCTCTCCAACCTTCCACCAAACGCCAAGAAGATCTCCAACTCATACGAGGAGCGGCGTAAACAAGCGACCGCCATCGTGCTGCTGGGGGTCATCGGGGCTGAGTTTGGCGCTGAGATTGAACCTCCCAAGGGGGCAGTGCGGGCTCGGACGGGGGGGCAGGCGCCTGAGGGCTTCGGACTGACCAGCGGAGGGTCCTCCAACTACTCTCTGGCCAGACACACATGTATGTACCATATTTACATTCTGGATAGGTAGGTGTTAGAAAAATATCACTCGTCACCGGCTTGAGCTTCAATATCAGGATCCATGTATTTCTGATCCTCTCCAGAATGAAAGTAGTCCTCACATACAGAGCATCAGCTAGTTCCTGAACAGTGTCCTTCACATGCTGATATTCAAGAGAGGGAGTTACACAGTCACAAGATGGAGGAATACTGGTTCTTGTAGGTAATCATACATCCTGTCATGAACAAAATACTGAGTTTTCTCTCAAAATTCGGACTTTTTCTCAAAATCCTGACTTTCTTTCAAAATCTCAAAATTCTGACTTTCTCTCAAATTCATTTTTTTAAACTTTTTCTCAAAATTCTGACTTTCTGTAAAAATGCTGTCTTTTTTCTCCAAATGATTTTTTAAAAAAGTTGTCCAAAAAATTCTGACTTTCTCTCAAAATTATGTATTTTTTAAAAAAACTCTAAATTCTGACTTTTTTTCTCAAAATTCTGTATTTTTTCTCAAAATGTCAAAATTCTGACTTTTTGCTCAAAATCTCAAACAGTGTCCTTCACATGCTGATATCTAAGAGAGGGAGTTACACAGTCACAAGATGGAGGAATAGAAAGCAGTATTCAATGTTTACTTCAGATTAGCTCCACGTCAGAAATGAGCATGCTTGTCATATGTCTGTCTCCATAGAGGCTGAATCATCATGTTAATCACATAGCTATCATATGCCTCAAACAGTCCTGATGCTCTTCTAGGTAATCACACATCCTGTCATGTACACAGCTACAGTTGGGATACCTTTGTTATCACGTGACTCTGATATTGGAAGAGGACATTCAGTATTTTCCCAACAGTAGGCATTTAGGGAAGTCTTCCATAATAGTTCAATACTATTCTTTTACGCGAGTCCTTCGATTGTTACTGGTGATATGGGTCAATTTGTGTATATCTGACTAGCTTGTCTGCAATTTAGAACAGCAGAACTTGTTGGGGTTTAACGGCATCTAAATGCTGAGTCAGATCTGGCTGCATTCACAAAATAAGTGCATGAACAGCTACGTCTCTTAAGGCTTTTGTTAAACGCTGTTCTTGCTTTACCACTCAATGTGTTTCTTTCTAACCCTAACCATCGCCAAGGAGGTAATGGTTTAGTTTCGTTTTATTTGTCTGTCAGCAGAATTGTGCATTTGTAAAGCATTCATATGGCGTCAGAATAATCAGAAAAAGGAATACCCCAATTCACATAAATTCCCAGTCAAGTCAGAACAAAAGCAAACTAGGTTTTATAGAATCTTCGTTGCTTTATGGCATTAAGTAAAATACCTACCATTGCCATGATATGGTACAGACATCCCAGCAAATGAATCATTTGAATGACCCTTAAATGAATATGTTGTGATCCCCTGACCCCTGCCTCACATTCAGACAGATGCTTTAATGTTCAGTGGTTCCCGTTTTGCTTCAAACTAAACAACTGACAAAGAAGAAACTTCAGTGTCGGATTAGAGGTGAGGAGAGAGATGGGATTGATTTTCACCCACCAAGCTTGACACCTTAAGGAGCTTGGTACTGACTTACACACACACACACACACACACACACACACACACACACACACACACACACACACACACACACACACACACACACACACACACACACACACACACACACACACACACACCCGGCCCCTGGCCTGCTGTGCCTGCAGCGCTGAACCTTGGTCGGCATCAAACCTGCACTAAGCAGAGCTGCTCTTCCATTCCATTGCTCCTGCGCTCTGATTGGCTGCCTCTGGGGTCATCCGCCCAGCGACAGAGTCTGGACTCCCCCTGATAGACTGTGGAGCGTGATGTTGGCCCTTTACACAGCGGTCATCTCACCTGTGTGGACTCACCAAACACACACACACACACACACACACACACACACACACACACACACACACACACACACACACACACACACTCACCACAAGAAAACCCCAAGCCCGTACCATCAGATGAAAACAACTCAATATTTAATTGATCCCCTTGAGTAGAGCTCCACCCTTTTTAGAACCTTCCTCCGAACCCTTTGGCTGGGTATCATTTGGACATTTTGATCCCATATGATAATATTTGTTGACGTTTGACATTGAAGGTCTCCTATCATGCTATTTTAAGGCATATATTATGGGTCTCAGATATATAGAAATATATATATAAACATGTCTATGATGTGTTTTGCTCAAAATACAAACAGATCATGCATTTTAGACATCCCTCATACCCCTCTATTCCAGCCCTGTTAGAGAAACGCGGATTTTGTGTCCTATAGCTTTAGAAGAAAAAAAGAGGAGGCGGAGCTAATGCCTGATCAGAATTATACCTGAGATAAAGTTAAATTCTGCTGTGATAAAACGCCATCCTGTTCTAAACCACATCAAGGATTATTTCTGAAACGGCATGGAGCTCAAATGCTTTTTCTCTTGCGGGTTTATCACAAGGTGAGTTCCTTTTTTTATTTCCTGCTTTTTAAACACATGTGCTCTCCAGTACAGGTTAGCTCTGAGTAGGGGTGCACCGAATGGGAAATTCTTGGCCGAAACCGATACCGAAAATAGGAAACAGTTGGCCGAATGCCGAAAGGCCGAAAATGATTAATAGAAATATATATATATATATATATATATATATATATATATAATGTATACATTTTTTACCAATGTTGTTCAGCTACCTGATTATGGAAATAGACATGATTATGGCAAAACTTAACTTAAATAATAATCACTATTATGGGTCCATAAAACATTTATTCAGCACTTTTGAATGCATACAGTACATTTATATATGTCATGTATTATTGCTAAAAAACATTATATCGCAGTCTTAGTGTCGCCAACTCGTTTCTAATATGCAAAGACAACAAATGCGTCTATGATGTATTTTCGATCAGACGAGATCTCTCTCCCGTCTGTGTGCGAGGGGGCGGGGCAGTTTACACACACGCAGCTGCTACATGCAGCGGAGCACACTGCGGAGATGGCGGAGAGAACGCGCTCCGAGGTGTGGTTAAACTTTACCCGTCTCGATGTGGAGAATACTTGTTACCATAAGTGCAATAAGAGTTTAGCATGTAAGCACGAGCAATTTGTCTAAACATTTAGCAAAAGTGCACCGCATGCAGACGGAGGAATGCACCGGGTTCGACCGTCTTTCTAGCAGCTCTGTAGCCCCATCCACGAGTAACGTTTCCACGTCAGGTGTTCTGTATGCTAGCAGCAACACACGGAGTTAACTACATGATACAAACATGGGTTAATGATTAGAGGAAACTGAGTTATTTAGTTTGTTAAAGTTTCAGCTATTCTGTTTACAGTCTGTCATCAGATTATTTAATACGATTTGTTAAAGGCTCAGGGCAATCTCGATGACAAAGGTCAATGTTCCCCCCCCCCCCCCTGTGAGCCAACCGCGAGCATGGTCGCCGCGTCTTTATTACGTCATCACAACAACACGTTAGGTTACCAACGTAAGCCTGTTCTGACATTCGGTGATATTTTTTCGGTGCTAAAACCCTTTCGGCCGAAAGCCGAAAGGGCCTTTTTAACCATTTTCGGCCGATAATTTTCGGTGGCCGAATATTCGGTGCATCCCTAGCTCTGAGTGTTAGCGAGGCTTGCTAATGTCAACAAAGACCAGATTACGTCCAAAACACGTCAGACATTGTTTTTGATATTAACTCTCTGGGTCCACCATCCGAAATTACGTAATATCCGCAGCAAATATGTCCGCTCGTTGTACCCCCGTTTTTTAAAGATTTGGGTACGGAGGAAAAGAGAAAGGGTTTTATTTTCTGACGCTGCGTGAGTCCCCCGACACCGGGGACACATATTTATGTATGAAAGACATCACAAAGTGAATTGTGTATGAAAGGTCCCACTAGATTTTTGCGCGGATAAAATACAGTATACATTTCTAAATGAATTGTCGTTTCTCACCAAGAAATAATGGGCCTCATGCAAGCACATAGTTATGTACTTATTGGATGCCTTTTGCTATTTATGAAGAGGCTGCTATAGAGGAAGCTTCTGGATTGTATTGTGATCAGGCTGATATGGTCAACAGAATATACATTTTGAATGACTTGTTTCTAAAAATAGTTAAACTACAAATTCATTCAGATTGGAGCAAAAATATGTATCAAGTCGATCAAGTGTTTCTTCCCTATTTGTAAACGTTGTTGTTACCTAGGATTCAACTGAGAAAAGGCAAAAGTTGTCAGGATTTCAATTGGAAACAAGGCTTATCTCAAAACTACATATTCTTTAATTCGTTCCTGCACTTGTCTTTTAGTCTGACTGAACTTAACACAGACATTAAGTAAGTAAGTGCCTGTAATGGTCATTATGACGCTCTGCACAGGGATCACGAGACAAAGAGTTATGTGACATGTTAGAAGGGACCCGATGAATTCAGAAAGAAGACATAATACTTCCAGAAAGTGATGCTGCTGCTCTTCCCAAGCGACTGAGCAGGAACACTTGTGCTGCAGTGAGAGAGAGGTCAGCCGGGGAGTTTGACCTGGATGCAGATCTCCATGCCGATCCGTGTGCATCGTCTTCTGATAACTTTCAGTAGAACTTTGAGACAAGTGTTTAAAATGATGGATCATGTTTATTTGAAAAACTTTTGGTACAATTGCACAGCCTGGCTCGAGAAATGTAATTCTGACTGTATGTCCCGGGTGAATGGAAACGGGGAATAACCCCCCCCCCTCTCTTTTTATATGATTTTCAGGCTGTGACGTTATGCTGCTTTTTCATAAAATACATAATTGATACAGCCACTTTCCATTTTAACACAAAAATGTCATTTTAAGGCATTTTAGCAAATAAATGATCCATTTGTTGTTTTCTTGGAGGACAGTATCTACTAACCAACTGAGAAAGATGATATTTGAACTCACCCTGACTCCATATAGCAACCTGCTTCTTTATCTGACCCCAGTGAA